TGTTCTTTTTATTTTGCACACGCTAGGCCCTTGTTCTTGCAATTTTGCACATGCTAGGCCCTTGTTCTTGCAATCTTGCACATGCTAGACCCTTGTTCTTTTTATTTTGCACTCGCTAGGCCCTTTTTCTTGCTATTTCGCGAACACAAGGCCCTTGTTCTTGTTTTTTTGCACACGCTAGGCCCTTGCTCTTGCTATTTTGCACTTGCTACGCCCTTGTTCTTGCAATTTTGCACTCGCTAGGCCCTTGTTCTTGCAATTTTGCACACGCTAGGCCCTTGTTCTTTTTATTTTGCACACGCTAGGCCCTTGTTCTTATATTTTGCACATGCTAGGCACTTGTTCTTGCTATTTTACACACGCTATGCCCTTGTTCTTTTTATTTTGCACACGCTAGGCCCTTGTTCTTTCAAGTTTGCACATGCTAGACCCTTGTTCTTTTTTTTTTGCACACGCTAGGCCCTTGTTCTTGCTATTTCGCGAACGCTAGGCCCTTGTTCTTGATTTTTTGCATACGCTAGGCCCTTGCTCTTGCTATTTTGCACTCGCTAGGCCCTTGTTCTTGCAATTATGCACACGCTAGGCCCTTGTTCTTGCTATTTTGCACACGCTAGGCCCTTGTTATTGCTATTTTGCACACGCTAGGCCCTTGTTCTTTTTATTTTGCACATGCTAGGCCCTTGTTCTTGCTATTTTGCAGACGCTATGCCCTTGTTCTTTTTATTTTGCACACGCTAGGCCCTTGTTCTTGCAATTTTGCACATGCTAGACCCTTGTTCTTTTAATTTTGCACACGCTATGCCCTTGTTCTTGCTATTTCGCGAACGCTAGGCCCTTGTTCTTGATTTTTTGCACACGCTAGGCCCTTGCTCTTGCTATTTTGCACTCGCTAGGCCCTTGTTCTTGCAATTCTGCACACGCTAGGCCCTTGTTCTTGCAATTTTGCACACGCTAAGCCCTTGTTCTTGCTATTTTGCACACGCTAGGCCCTTGTTCTTTTTATTTTGCACACGCTAGGCCCTTGCTCTTGCTATTTTGCACTCGCTAAGCCCTTGTTCTTGCACTTTTGCACATGCTAGGCCCTTGTTCTTGCAATTTTGCAAACGCTAGGCCCTTGTTCTTTTTATTTTGCACACGCTAGGCCCTTGTTCTTTTTATTTTGCACACGCTAGGCCCTTGTTCTTGCTATTTTGCACACGCTATGCTCTTGTTCTTGCAATTTTGCACACGCTAGGCCCTTGTTCTTTTTATTTTGCACACGCTAGGCCCTTGTTCTTTTTATTTTGCACACGCTATGCCCTTGGTGCATCGGCCAGTCTGGCCGGCATTTCGCACTCATAGTGCCATGGAGAACGGAAACGCTCGTTTCTCAAAAAGTAGAGGGAATCTAACGGTCTCACTCGATCACAAGGTAGGAAATATATAAATCTAGTCAGCTAAAAAGGTTTGAAATGTATTCAACGCACATATATAGAGAAAATGGTGCATTGGCCAGGTCGGTCAGTATCGGAACTTAAAATGCAAATGCCAGGGAGAACGGAAGCGCTCAGATCTCGCATAGTACACGGAATCAAGTGGTCTCACTCAAAAAGAAAATAGGAAATATATTCATCTAGTGAACGTAAGGGTTTGAAACGTAACTAACGCACATGTGTAGAGAAAAAGGTGCATCAGCCAGTCTGGCCGGCATTTCGCACTCATAGTGCAGGTAGGGCCAGGGAGAACGGAAACGCTCGTTTCTCAAAAAGTAGAGGGAATCTAACGCTCTCACTCGATCAAAAGGTGGGAAATATATAAATCTAGTTAGCTAAAAAGGTTTGAAATGTATTCAACGCACATTTATAGAGAAAATGGTGCATTGGCCAGGTCGGTCAGTATCGGAACTTCAAATGCAAATGCTAGGGAGAACGGAAGCGCTCATATCTCGCATCGTACACGGAATCTAGTGGTCTCACTCAAATATAAGGTAGGAAATAAATTCATCTAGTGAACGTAAGGGTTTGAAAGGTAACTAACGCACATGTGTAGAGAAAATTGTGCATCGGCCGGTCTGACCGGCATTTCGCACTTATAGTGCAAGTAGGGCCAAAGAGAACGGAAACGCTCATTTCTCAAAAAGTAAAGGGAATCTAGCAGTCTCACTCGATCAGAAGGTGGGAAATATATAAATCTAGTGAGCTTATAAGGTTCAGAAGGAATCTAATGCATATGTATATAGAAAGTGGTGCATTGGCCAGGTCGGTCAGTATGGGAACTTAGAGTGCAAATGCCTGGGAGAACGGAACTGCTCAGATCTCGCATAATACACGGAATCTAGTGGTCTCACTCAAATATAAGGTAGGAAATATATTCATCTTGTGAACGTAAGGGTTTGAAAGGTAACTAACGCACATGTGTAGAGAAAATTGTGCATCGGCCAGTCTGGCCGGCATTTCGCACTTATAGTGCAAGTAGGGCCAAGGAGAACGGAAACGCTCATTTCTCAGAAAGTAAAGGGAATCTAGCGGGATCACTCGATCAAAAGGTGGGAAACATATAAATCTAGTGAGCTAATAAGGTTCGGAAGGAATCTAACGTATATGTATATGGAAAGTAGTGCATTGGCCAGGTCGGTCAGTATGGGAACTTAGAGTGCAAATGCCAGGGAGAATGGAAGCGCTCAGATCTCGCATAGTACACAGAATCTAGTGGTCTCACTCAAATAGAAGGTAGGAAATAAATTCATCTAGTGAACGTAAGGGTTTGAAAGGTAACTAACGCACATGTGTAGAGAAAATGGTGCATCGGCCAGTCTGGCCGGCATTTCGCACTTATAGTGCAAGTAGGGCCAAGGAGAACGGAAACGCTCATTTCTCAAAAACTAAAGGGAATCTAGCGGTCTCACTCGATCAGAAGGTGGGAAATATATAAATCTAGTGAGCTAATAAGGTTTGAAAGGAATCTAATGCATATGTATATGGAAAGTGGAGCATTGGCCAGGTCGGTCAGTATGGGAACTTACAGTGCAAATGCCTGGGAGAACAGAACCGCTCAGATCTCGCATAATACACGGAATCTAGTGGTCTCACTCAAATATAAGGTAGGAAATATATTCATATAGTGAACGTAAGGGTTTGAAAGGTAACTTACGCACATGTGTAGAGAAAATTGGGCATTGGCCAGTCTGGCCGGCATTTCGTACTTATAGTGCAAGTAGGGCCAAGGAGAACGGAAACGCTCATTTCTCAGGAAGTAAAGGGAATCTAGCGGAATCACTCGATCAAAAGGAGGGAAATATATAAATCTAGTGAGCTAATAAGGTTCGGAAGGAATCTAATGCATATGTATATAGAAAGTGGTGCATTGGCCAGGTCAGTCAGTATGGGAACTTAGAGTGCAAATGCCTGGGAGAACGGAACCGCTCAGATCTCGCATAATACACGGAATCTAGTGGTTTCACTCAAATATAAGGTAGGAAATATATTCATCTAGTGAACGTAAGGGTTGAAAGGTAACTAATGCACATGTGTAGAGAAAATGGTGCATCAGCCAGTCTGGCCGGCATTTCGCACTTATAGTGCAGGTTGGGCCAGGTAGAACGGAAACGCTCGTTTCTCAAAAAGTAGAGGGAATCTAACGGTCTCACTCGATCAGAAGGTGGGAAATATATAAATCTAGTCAGCTAAAAAGGTTTGAAATGTATTCAACGCACATGTATAGAGAAAATGGTGCATTGGCCAGGTCGGTCAGTATCGGAACTTAAAATGCAAATGCCAGGGAGAACGGAAGCGCTCAGATCTCGCATAGTACACGGAATCAAGTGGTCTCACTCAAATAGAAAGTAGGAAATATATTCATCTAGTGAACGTAAGGGTTTGAAAGGTAACTAACGCACATGTGTAGAGAAAATTGTGCATCGGCCAGTCTGGCCGGCATTTCGCACTTATAGTGCAAGTAGGGCCAAGGAGAACGAAAACGCTCATTTCTCAGAAAGTAGAGGGAATCTAGCGATCTCACTCGATCAGAAGGTGGGAAATATATAAATCTAGTGAGCTAATAAGGTTTGAAAGGAATCTAATGCATATGTATATGGAAAATGGTGCATTGGCCAGGTCGGTCAGTATGGGAACTTAGAGTGCAAATGCCAGGGAGAACGGAAGCGCTCAGATCTGGCATAGTACACGGAATCTAGTGGTCTCACTCAAATAGAAGGTAGGAAATAAATTCATCTAGTGAACGTAAGGGGTTGAAATGTAACTAACGCACATCTGTAGAGAAAATGGTGCATCAGCCAATCTGGCCAGCATTTCGCACTTATAGTTCAGGTGGGGCCACGGAGAACGAAAATGCTCGTTTCTCAAAAAGTAGAGGGAATCTAACGGACTCACTCAATCAGAAGGTGGGAAATATATAAATCTAGTCAGCTAAAAAGGTTTGAACTGTATTCAACGCACAGGTATAGAGAAAATGGTGCATTGGCCAGGTCGGTCAGTATCGGAACTTAAAATGCAAATGCCAGGGAGAACGGAAGCGCTCAGATCTCGCATAGTACACGGAATCAAGTGGTCTCACTCAAATAGAAAGGAGAAAATATATTCATCTAGTGAACGTAAGGGTTTGAAAGGTAACTAACGCACATGTGTAGAGAAAATTGTGCATCGGCCAGTCTGGCCGGCATTTCGCACTTATAGTGCAACTATGGCCAAGGAGAACGGAAACGCTCATTTCTCAAAAAGTAGAGGGAATCTAGCGGTCTCACTCGATCAAAAGGTGGGAAACATATAAATCTAGTGAGCTAATAAGGTTCGAAAGGAATCTAATGCATATGTATATGGAAAATGGTGCATTGGCCAGGTCGGTCAGTATGGGAACTTAGAGTGCAAATGCCAGGGAGAACGGAAGCGCTCAGATCTCGCATAGTACACGGAATCTAGTGGTCTCACTCAAATAGAAGGTAGGAAATAAATTCATCTAGTGAACGTAAGGGTTTGAAAGGTAACTAACGCACATGAGTAGAGAAAATGGTGCATCGGCCAGTCTGGCCGGCATTTCGCACTTATAGTGCAAGTAGGGCCAAGGAGAACGGAAACGCTCATTTCTCAAAAAGTAAAGGGAATCTAGCGGTCTCACTCGATCGGAAGGTGGGAAATATATAAATCTAGTGAGCTAATAAGGTTCGAAAGGAATCTAATGCATTTGTATATGGAAAATGGTGCATTGGCCAGGACGTGGACCTGGTCGTGGACATGGACGTGGACGTGGACGTGGACCTGGACCTGGACGTGGACGTGGACGTGGACGTGGACATGGACGTGGATGTGGACGTGGACGTGGACATGGACGTGGACGTGGACGTGGACGTGGACTGGGACGTGGACGTGGACGTGGAGTGGACGTGGAGTGGACGTGGACGTGGACATGGACGTGGACGTGGACGTGGACGTGGACGTGGACGTGGACGTGGACGTGGACGTGGACGTGGAGATGGACGTGGACGTGGACGTGGACGTAGACATGGACGTGGACATGGACGTGGAGTGGACGTGGACGTGGACGTGGACGTGGACCTGGACGTGGACGTGGACGTGGACATGGACGTGGACGTGGACATGGACGTGGACATGGACGTGGACGTGGACGTGGACGTGGACATGGACGTGGACGTGGACGTGGACGTGGACGTGGACGTGGACGTGGACGTGGATGTGGACATGGACGTGGACATGGACGTGGACATAGACGTGGACATGGACGTGGACATGGACGTGGACGTGGACGTGGGCGTGGACGTGGACGTGGACGTGGACGTGGAGATGGACGTGGACGTGGACGTGGACGTGGAGATGGACGTGGACGTGGACGTGGACGTAGACATGGACGTGGACGTGGACGTGGACATGGATGTGGACGTGGACGTGGACGTGGACATGGACGTGGACGTGGACGTGGACATGGACATGGACGTGGACGTGGACATGGACGTGGACGTGGACGTGGACGTGGACGTGGACGTGGACATGGACGTGGACGTGGACGTGGACATGGACGTGGACGTGGACGTGGACGTAGACATGGACGTGGACGTGGACGTGGACGTGGACATGGACGTGGACATGGACGTGGACATGTACGTGGACGTGGACATGGACGTGGACATGGACGTGGACGTGGACGTGGGCGTGGACGTGGACGTGGACGTGGAGATGGACGTGGACGTGGACGTGGAGGACCTGGACGTGGAGATGGATGTTGACGTGGACGTGGTCGTGGACGTGGACATGGACGTAGACGTGGACATGGACGTGGACGTGGACGTGGACATAGATGTGGACATGTACGTGGTTGTCGACGTGGAAGTGGACGTGGACGTGGAGAAATTGGACGTGGACATGGACGTGGACATGGACGTGGACGTGGACGTGGACGAAGACATGGTCGTGGATAAGGACGTGGACGTGGACGTGGACGTGGACATGGACTTAGACGTGGACGTGGACGTGGACGTGGACGTGGACGTGGTCGTGGACGTGGACGTGGTCTTGGACATGGACGTGGACGTGGACATGGACGTGGACGTGGACGTGGACGTAGACATGGACGTGGACCTGGACGTGGACGAGGACGTGGACGTGGACATGGACGTGGACATGGACGTGGACGTGGACATGGACGTGGACGTGGACGTGGACGTGGACCTGGTCGTGGACATGGACGTGGACGTGGACGTGGACCTGGATCTGGACCTGGACGTGGACGTGGACGTGGACATGGACGTGGACGTGGACGTGGACGTGGACCTGGTCGTGGACATGGACGTGGACGTGGACGTGGACCTGGACCTGGACCTGGACGTGGACGTGGACGTGGACGTGGACGTGGACATGGACGTGGACGTGGACGTGGACGTGGACATGGACGTGGACGTGGATGTTGACGTGGACGTGGTCGTGGACGTGGACATGGACGTAGACGTGGACATGGACGTGGACGTGGACGTGGACATAGATGTGGACATGTACGTTGTTGTCGACGTGGAAGTGGACGTGGACGTGGAGAAATTGGACGTGGACATGGACGTGGACATGGACGTGGACGTGGACGTGGACGAAGACATGGTCGTGGATAAGGACGTGGACGTGGACGTGGACGTGGACATGGACTTAGACGTGGACGTGGACGTGGACGTGGACGTGGACGTGGTCGTGGACGTGGACATGGTCTTGGACATGGACGTGGACGTGGACATGGACGTGGACGTGGACGTGGACGTAGACATGGACGTGGACCTGGACGTGGACGAGGACGTGGACGTGGACATGGACGTGGACATGGACGTGGACGTGGACATGGACGTGGACGTGGACGTGGACGTGGACCTGGTCGTGGACATGGACGTGGACGTGGACGTGGACCTGGATCTGGACCTGGACGTGGACGTGGACGTGGACATGGACGTGGACGTGGACGTGGACGTGGACCTGGTCGTGGACATGGACGTGGACGTGGACGTGGACCTGGACCTGGACCTGGACGTGGACGTGGACGTGGACGTGGACGTGGACATGGACGTGGACGTGGACGTGGACGTGGACATGGACGTGGACGTGGACGTGGACGTGGACTGGGACGTGGACGTGGACGTGGAGTGGACGTGGACATGGACGTGGACGTGGAGGTGGACGTGGACGTGGACATGGACGTGGACGTGGACGTGGACTGGGACGTGGACGTGGAAGTGGACGTGGAGATGGACGTGGACGTGGACATGGACGTAGACATGGACGTGGACGTGGGACGTGGAGTGGACGTGGACGTGGACGTGGACGTGGACGTGGACGTGGACGTGGACGTGGACCTGGACGTGGACCTGGACGTGGACGTGGACGTGGACATGGACGTGGACCTGGACGTGGACGTGGACGTGGACGTGGACGTGGACGTGGACGTGGACATGGACGTGGAGTGGACGTGGACGTGGACGTGGACGTGGACGTGGACGTGGACGTGGACGTGGACATGGACGTGGACGTGGACATGGACGTGGAGTGGACGTGGACGTGGACGTGGACGTGGACGTGGACGTGGACGTGGACGTGGACGTGGACGTGGACGTGGACGTGGACGTGGACGTGGAGGACATGTACGTGGACGTGGACGTGGACGTGGACGTGGACGTGGAAGTGGACGTGGACGTGGACGTGGACATGGACGTGGACGTGGACGTGGAGTGGACGTGGACGTGGACGTGGACATGGACGTGGACGTGGACGTGGATGTGGACATGGAAGTGGACGTGGACGTGGACGTGGACGTGGACGTGGAGATGGACGTGGACGTGGACGTGGCCGTGGACGTAGACGTGGACGTGGACGTGGACGTGGACGTGGATATGGAGGACGTGGACGTGGACATGGACGTGGACGTGGACGTGGACGTGGACGTGGAGAACTTGGACGTGGACATGGACGTGAACGTGGACGTGGACGTGGACGTGGAGGACTTGGACGTGGACATGGACGTGGACGTGGAGGTGGACATGGATGTGGACGTGGACATGGACGTGGACGTGGACGTGGACGTGGACATGGACGTGGACGTGGACGTGGACGTGGACATGGACATGGACATGGACGTGGACGCGGACGTGGACGTGGACATAGACGTGGACGTGGACGTGGACGTGGACATGGACGTGGACGTGGACATGGTCGTGGACGTAGACGTGGACGTGGACGTGGACGTGGACATGGACGTGGACGTCAACAAGACGTGGACGTGAACATGGACGTGGACATGGACGTGGAAGTGGACATGGACGTGGATATGGACGTGGACATGGACGTGGACGTGGATATGGACGTGGACATGGACGTGGACGTGGACGTGGACGTGGACATGGACGTGGACATGGACGTGGACATGGACGTGGACGTGGACATGGACGTGGACGTGGACGTGGACGTGGACGTGGACATGGACGTGGACATGGACGTGGACATGGACGTGGACATGGACATGGACGTGGACATGGACGTGGACATGGACGTGGACATGGACGTGGACATGGACGTGGACGTGGACGTGGGCGTGGACGTGGACGTGGACGTGGACGTGGAGATGGACGTGGACGTGGACGTGGAGGACTTGGACGTGGAGATGGACGTTGACGTGGACGTGGACGTGGACGTGGACATGGACGTGGACGTGGACATGGACGTGGACGTGGACGTGGACATGGACGTGGACATGTACGTGGACGTCGACGTGGAAGTGGACGTGGACGTGGAGAACTTGGACGTGGACATGGACGTGGACATGGACGTGGACGTGGACGTGGACGAAGACATGATCGTGGATGTGGACGTGGACGTGGACGTGGACGTGGACGTGGACATGGACTTAGACGTGGACGTGGACGTGGACGTGGTCGTGGACGTGGACGTGGTCTTGGACATGGACGTGGACGTGGACATGGACGTGGACGTGGACGTGGACGTAGACATGGACGTGGACCTGGACGTGGACGAGGACGTGGACGTGGACATGGACGTGGACGTGGACGTAGACAGGGACATGGACTTGGACATGGACGTGGACGTGGACATGGACGTGGACGTGGAAATGGACATGGACATGGACGTGGACGTGAATGTGGACGTGGACATAGACGTGGACGTGGACGTGGACATGGACATGGACACGTCCACGTCCATGTCCACATCCACGTCCATGTCCACGTCCACGTCCATGTCCACGTCCATGTCCATGTCCATGTCCACGTCCACGTCCACGTCCACGTCCATGTCATTTGCACTCTAAGTTCCCATACTGACCGACCTGGCCAATGCACCATTTTCCATATACATATGTATTAGATTCCTTTCAAACCTTATTAGCTCACTAGATTTATATTTTTCCCACCTTCTGATCGAGTGAGACCGCTAGATTCCCTCTACTTTTTGAGAAATGAGCGTTTCCGTTCTCCTTGGCCCTAGTTGCACTATAAGTGCGAAATGCCGGCCAGACTGGCCGATGCACAATTTTCTCTACAGATGTGCGTTAGTTACCTTTCAAACCCTTACGTTCACTAGATGAATAGATTTCCTACTTTCTATTTGAGTGAGACCACTTGATTCCGTGTACTATGCGAGATCTGAGCGCTTCCGTTCTCCCTGGCATTTGCATTTTAAGTTCCGATACTGACCGACGTGGCCAATGCACCATTTTCTCTATACATGTGCGTTGAATACATTTCAAACCTTTTTAGCTGACTAGATTTATATATTTCCCACCTTCTCATCGAGTGAGACCGTTAGACTCCCTCTACTTTTTGAGAAACGAGCGTTTTCGTTCTCCCTGGCCCCACCTGCACTATGAGTGCGAAATGCCGGCCAGACTGGCCAATGCATCATTTTCTCTACACATGTGCGTTAGTTACCTTTCAAACCCTTACGTTCACTAGATGAATATATTTCCTACCTTATATTTGAGTGAGACCACTAGATTCGGTGTATTATGCGAGATCTGAGCGCCATTTTCCATATACATATGTATTAGATTCCTTTCGAACCTTATTAGCTCACTAGATTTATATATTTCCCACCTTCTGTTTGAGTGAGACTGCTAGATTCCCTCTACTTTTTGAGAAATGAGCGTTTCCGTTCTCCTTGGCCCTACTTGCACTATAAGTGCGAAATGCCGGCGAGACTGGCCGATGCTCCATTTTCTCTGCACATGTGCGTTAGTTACCTTTCAAACCCTTACGTTCACTAGATGAATTTATTTCCTACCTTCTATTTGAGTGAGACCACTAGATTCCGTGTACTATGCGAGATCTGAGCGCTTTTGTTCTCCGATGCATCTGCACTCTAAGTTCCCATACTGACCGACCTGGCCAATGCACCACTTTCTATATACATATGCATTAGATTCCTTCCGAACATTATTAGCTCACTAGATTTATATATTTCCCACCTTCTGATCGAGTGAGACCGCTAGATTCCCTTTACTTTTTGAGAAATGAGCGGTTCCGTTCTCCTTGGCCCTAGTTGCACTATAAGTGCGAAATACCGGCCAAACTGGCCGGTGCACCATTTTCTCTACACATGTGCGTTAGTTACCTTTCAAACCCTTACGTTCTCTAGATGAATTTATTTCCTACCTTCTATTTGAGTGAGACCACTAGATTCCGTGTACTATGCGAGATCTGAGCGCTTCCGTTCTCCTTGGCATTTGCACTCTACGTTCCCATACTGACCGACCTAGCCAATGCACCATTTTCCATATACATATGCGTTAGATTCCTTTCGAACCTTATTAGCTCACTAGATTTATATATTTCCCACCTTGTGATCGAGTGAGACCGCTAGATTCCGTCTTCTTTTCGAGAAATGAGCGTTTCCGTTCTCCTTGGCCCTACTTGCACTAAAAGTGCGAAATGCCGGCGAGACTGGCCGATGCACCATTTTCTCTACACATGTGCGTTAGTTACCTTTCAAACCCTTACGTTCACTCGATAAATTTATTTCCTACATTCTATTTGAGTGAGACCACTAGATTCCGTGTACTATGCGAGATCTGAGCGCTTCCGTTCTCCCTGGCATTTGCACTCTAAGTTCCCATACTGACCGACCTGGCCAATGCACCATTTTCCATATACATATGCATTAGATTCCTTTCGAGCCTTATTAGCTCACTATAATTATATATTTCCCACCTTCTGATCGAGTGAGACCGCTGGATTCCCTCTACTTTTTGAGAAATGAGCGTTTCCGTTCTCCTTGGCCCTACTTGCACTATAAGTGCGAAATGTCGGCCAGACTGGCCGATGCACAATTTTCTCTACACATGTGCGTTAGTTACCTTTCAAACCCTTACGTTCACTAGATGAATATATTTCCTACTTTCTATTTGAGTGAGACCCCTTGATTCCGTGTACTATGCGAGATCTGAGCGCTTCCGTTCTCCCTGGCATCTGCATTTCAAGTTCCGATACTGACCGACCTGGCCAATGCACCATTTTCTCTATACATGTGCGTTGAATACATTTCAAACCTTTTTAGCTGACTATATTTATATATTTCCTACCTTCTGATCGAGTGAGACCGTTAGATTCCCTCTACTTTTTGAGAAACGAGCGTTTCCGTTCTCCCTGGCCCCACCTGCACTATGAGTGCGAAATGCCGGCCAGACTGGCATATGCACCATTTTGTCTACACATGTACGTTAGTTACCTTTCAAACCTTCACGTTCACTAGATGAATAAATTTCATACCATATATTTGAGTGAGACCACTAGATTCCGTGTATTATGCGAGATCCGAGCGGTTCCGTTCTCCGAGGCATTTGCACTCCAAGTTCCCATACTGACCGACCTGGCCAATGCACCACTTTCCATATACATATGCATTAGATTCCTTTCGAACCTTATTAGCTCACCAGATTTATATATTTCCCACCTTCTGATCGAGTGAGACTGCTAGATTCCCTCTACTTTTTGAGAAATGAGCGTTTCCGTTCTCCTTGGCCCTACTTGCACTATAAGTGCGAAATGCCAGCCAAACTGGCCGATGCACAATTTTCTCTACAGATGTGCGTTAGTTACCTTTCAAACCCTTACGTTCACTAGATGAATTTATTTCCTACCTTCTATTTGAGTGAGACCACTAGATTCCGTGTACTATGCGAGATCTGAGCGCTTCCGTTCTCCCTGGCATTTGCACTCTAAGTTCCCATACTTACCGACCTGGCCAATGCACCATTTTCCATATACATATGCATTAGATTCCTTTCAAACCTTATTAGCCGACTAGATTTAAATATTTCCCACCTTCTGCTCGAGTGAGACCGCTAGATTCCCTCTACTTTTTGAGAAATGAGCATTTCCGTTCTCCTTGGCCCTAGTTGCACTATAAGTGCGAAATGCCGGCCAGACTGGCCGATGCACAATTTTCTCTACACATGTGCGTTAGTTACCTTTCAAACCTTTTCGTTCACTAGATGAATATATTTCCTACTTTCTATTTGAGTGAGACCACTTGATTCTGAGTACTATGCGAGATCTGAGCGCTTCCGTTCTCCCTGGCATTTGCATGTTAAGTTCCGATACAGACCGACCTGGCCGATGCACCATTTTCTCTATACATGTGCGTTGAATACATTTCAAACATTTTTAGCTGACTATATTTATATATTTCCCACCTTCTGATCGAGTCAGACCGTTAGATTCCCTCTACTTTTTGAGAAACGAGCGTTTCTGTTCTCCCTGGCCCCACCTGCACTATGAGTGCGAAATCCCGGCCAGACTGGCCGATGCACCATTTTCTCTACACATGTGCGTTAGTTACCTTTCAAACCCTTACGTTCACTAGATGAATATATGTCCTACCTTATATTTGAGTGAGACCACTAGATTCTGTGTATTGTGCGAGATTTGAGCGGTTCCGTTCTCCCAGGCATTTGCACTCTAAGTTCCCATACTGACCGACCTGGCCAGGCACCACTTTCCATATACATATGCATTAGATTCCTTCCGAACCTTATTAGCTCACTAGATTTATATATCTTCCACCTTCTGATCGAGTGAGACCGCTAGATTCCCTTTACTTTTTGAGAAATGAGCGTTTCTGTTCTCCTTGGCCCTACTTGCACTATAAGTGCGAAATGCCGGCCAGACTGGCCGATGCACCATTTTCTCTACACATGTGCGTTAGTTACCTTTCAAACCCTTACGTTCACTAGATGAATTTATTTCCTACCTTCTATTTGAGTGAGACCACT